ATCTCCATGCTCCGTATTTGCACTGATAATGAAAAACATCTTTCATTAATTACTAACAGTAAGAGATATATCTAGATATATACACAAATATCTAGATATATACAAACATATCTAGATACATACAAACATATACATCTAGCTGATTTATTAACTTAAATTTCAATTTAAAAAATAAAATTACCATGTTATCTTTATCTGTTACAGACAAAAATGTATATTAAATGTACGTTTATTTATTTAACTAATTAAAATAAAGTTTAAAGGGTCAAAAAAATGATAAGAAAATAATTTTTCAGACATAGACATACATCATAATTATCAGCCAAAACAAAACGCAGTATACATTTATACAATACAAGGATGGAAAAATAAGAAAAAAAATCTAAATACAAAAATCTTATTAAAATTTTTTTTTTCAAAATTGGACTTTATCAAAGTAAGTTTCATTCATTGTTAGTTTGTCAATTATTGGTGGAGTGTACAGCAAAATGGTGCAGAACACCATGCAAGAGAAAAATGACACCACCATGATGACCACCCATATAGGAAACATGTACTTCTTGCCAGTCATCTTTAACAGCTCTGAATTGTATTTTAAATTTAATTTTAAAATATTAGTATGATTTTAACTTTAATTTGAAGTCTAATGTACACATGAAAAATTGATATATATTTTTCAATTCTATTATTAATAAATATAATAGAGCATTATTTTTATAAAACGATGTAAGCAATTAATTAATGTTTATTAATTGATTAATCAATTATTCAATTAAATAATTAATTAATTAACCAATTTTCTTCTGTATACTTGTTTCCATTTCAAGAAAATCTTTCACGGAATAAAATGTTAACGATCAACACTTTGAGAACTTGAAGACTCTGAATGGATGAGGAGACGATGACTAAGTAAAATAGAATGACTTTAAATTTTTAAAACTTTAAAAGTTTAAAAACATTCCACAGAGCTTTCAACATTGATTGTTTTCATTTTCATTTTCTCTTCTAATGTTCTAAGGCTAACGCTAACCTCTTCTAAATTCTAAAGTAAACTAATAATCTATGAATATCTAATGCTAATTTACTATTAATTATAATAATAGTACCAAGTAACAAGAATAAGACAATAAGTAAAAAAATTTTAAACTGCTAACTAAATTCTCTAATAATTAAAAAACTATAAAATAATTAATAAATGCTAAAAAAATTACTCTAATTTTTTTAATGTCTAATCAATAAAAACCACCAACCAACCCACCTAATCAATATATTTTCAAATCAATCAACGACTTGTTTATATTAGTTAATTAATTAATTAATTTAATAACTGTTGTTCAGCCATTTTTGTGAAAAAATTTGTATTATTTTTGCTTACAACTTGAATTTGGATTTACATCAAACTTTAATTCACTTTTACACCATCAAATAACTAAGATCATAGAATTAAAATTCATTACGTAACACTAATTATTCACGCAAATTATCGCAATTCAAGTGATTGTATGGCATTGTTTAAACCACAAATTTGTTAAAAAATTTTGTCTAACTTAATTTTTGTGTATGCTACTAAACCAGCTCGCGATCGCTTCAATCTAATCAAATCAATCAAAAGCAGTAGAGGTAGTGGTAGCAGCTGTAGAAGCGGCTGTAGTAATAGCAGCAGTAGTGATATTAATGGTAGTATTAGTGGTAGTAATATTTTTCTTGTATTGCAGTAGTTAAAACATAAAGTGTATGTTGGCCGGTTTCTATTTTGATGAAGACGATGATAATTTATCGGAGTCATTTTATATTTCTATTCTTCTTATTATTATTATCCTGATGATGATAGTGAATAAGAATCCTACTTTATTTTCTCATTAGATTGATTAATTAGCTAGGCGCAGACGATATGAAATTCAATGGTTAATAATGCATATTTCATTTTGATTGAAGGTCAATTAACGATCAAGATGACGTGTCAGTTGTTACTGGAACCTTGCTACGAAACATTCTCACGCTTCTATTGAAGTAAAATAGCCAGCAACGACTGTAGTAGGGTCAACAATTAAAAATTTTTGAATCGAATATTAAGTACCTACCTAGCGTGTGTCAATCATCTGCACCCTCTTTCTCTATCAATCTATCTCTCGCGAGCTCTCCCCATCAACATTGTACCTTATATCTTTTTCAATATTGTATCATGCATCTCTTTTTTTCCTCAATATTATATCTTGTATCTTTCTCTCAATATTTTATCTTCATTTCTCCCCCACCCTCTCTCTCACCCTATTTTATTTTGTGTCTCCCTTAGTTGTCTCTCTTTTTATACTGTTTCTTTTTCTTTAGCGCTCTCTCTCTCTCTTTCGTACTTTTTCTTCTGGTTTCCATTTCTCTCTCTCAATGGAATTATCTACATAGCCCAGATTTGATGTTTCGATATGGAAATTGAACTATAATACTCAACACTTAACTGGGATGCTTGGTTTCATGTTGTGCATTGAGTATAAAATACTACTTCATTCTCCACTTACTTCTTTTTCATCTTTGTTTGACTTAGCAGTTCAGCATCTGTAAATGTTCTTAATTCAAACGACTTTCAAGGATAACATCCAAAAATTAAATTCAAACAAAACATGTCTGAACATAAGAGCAAAAATGATAATGGAATTGATGATGATAACATTTATAATGGGGAAGGCGATAATGATGGTAACAATGATGGTGAGCAGGATTACGAAGATGATGATGAAATAACAGTTCATATACCACGGAAAATGATAACATAATCACCAACAACATCAGCAACAACTGTAATGATAATAATAATAATAATAATAAGAGAAGGTATTACAAAGTTATGTCCAATCATTGATTAAAAATAAAAACAGTTTATATTTAATGTTTGCGTGTGTGTGTGTGTGTGTGTGTGTGTGTATGAGTGTTTACGTGTGTCTATGTACGTGTGTGTGTACATGTGTGTGTACGTGTGTGTGTGTGTGTGTGTGTACTTTGCTGATGACGATAAGGTCGTCGATAATGAAATAATTAATGATGATGATATCAATAAATATAGAAATGATGAAGAAGGTACAAATGATGAAGATGATACAGATGATGATGAAGACGATGACGTTGATAAAAGAGATGATGATGATGAAGAGGCCGGTTAATCAGGTGAACATCTGTGATTATAAACTGTAAGCATTCAGTAAAAAAGTGCACAGTATGTTCGTATTGTACGTATACAATATGTTATTGTTTTGATGTTCATACGCACACATACACACCCACACACACACACCCACATACACACACACACACACACACACATACATACATACATACATACATACATACATACACACACACATACATACATACATACATACATACATACATACATACATACATACATACATACATACATACATACATACATACACACATACATAAATACATAAACACTTACATACATACATATATACATTCAAGATACAAACGTATATACCAACCTCTGAGCAAAGATGTTATATCGGACGTGTACATCAATAAAGAGAAAAATTACATTTGCATGATGGCTTTGGTATAACACTACGAAAATATTTTATACATTTATTCATAATGACTTAATACTAAAAGAAATATGTCCATTGTTGGTTGATTGCACTTTAGTTAGAAGTTTTTTTTATTCAGCGTACATTTTCTGACTGAGTCATTATTGTATATATTTGATTTACTAACAAATCATTCAAAACTGGATTATAAAGAACATTATTTCAAGAATGTTTTTTATATCTTTATCAAAATAAATTATATTTATTTAAAATTAAACAGTGAATATATTAAAATTGATTTTGGATGTATGTATACGAGCTGCGTTTGAGTTGAAAAATCGAGTTGATGTTAACCTCATTTAACAACAACAACGAGGAGAAAAATCAAAATAAAAGAATCAAACATTCAGGTTCTACATTTTTTTGCCACTTTCATCATCGTTTTCATCATCATCATCATCATCATCTTCCATTCACCATCGGTGCATTCATCGTCATCATTTCATTATCATCAATGCTGTCGTTCATACCATCATCATCGTCGTAATCGTCGTCGTCATCATCAACATCGTTATCATCAACATCGTCTGATTTCCATTGTAAAATAACCCAGAACAATAATAAGATGAATTGCAAATATAAACTGTTGCAATAATAACATTCAAAGATCTTTTAAAACAGATATTTCTAATTTAAAATGGCATTCCAACTTTTTACTGAGCAGACTCAACAAGCAATGCCAGCAACTTCAATAACAACACCACTGACGACAGCACCAACTACAACAGAAGCAACGACACACTTGCTACTAAAACAGCCACCACCACCACCACCACCACCAATGACGACAACGACGACATCAGCCACACACAAAAACGTCTGCTAGACTACGATTCGGGTAATGGGGAAGACTTGTTGCCGGGAGATTCAAATCAGCTGTCACCTGGTGATCCTTTGGCGGCTGGCTCCGTCGAGCGATTCTCCGATAACTTGACCCCACCCAATGACCCCAACCACCCTTCCGTAAAATCTGACGGCCTCATTTTATCTTCCTCCCTCTCCAAAGATTCACTATCTCCATCATCTTCTTTCAAAGATTTTAGTCAACAACAATTACAACCTCGTCAAAAGAGTGAGGTTATGATAGCAAATGTTGTTTTTTTTTATGTAGGAAAAATATCGATACTACTACTACGACTGCTGCTGCTGCTACTACTGCTACTTCTTCAACTACTACTTTTACTACAATTTCTACTACTTTTATTAATATGATATAATATATAATGATATAAATGACAAAAAAAATGATAATTAGAGTCACACGATATCTGGATGTTGTCAAAAGCTAATAATGATGAAAAATATTAGTGATGATGATAACGATGGTGATGATGGTGGTAGTGATGTTGATGAAGATGATATCATATGAATAAATTAATGATGACGATTATTATTTATCTTCTATCAGCCCCTAGATACAAGCTTAATCACACAAAACATGGAAAGGCAATCATCTTCTGCTTTCAAAGGTTGCATTTTCATTTCATTTGATGTGTACACACACACACACATTTACATGCACACACACAGACTCGCATGCAAACAGACACGCACAAACACAGACACGCACAAACAGAGACACACAGAGACACGCACACACACAGACACACACAACAATTAATGTTATCAGTTAACTTTCACAGTTAATAATTTAATAATTTCACGCAAATTTGTATTTTATGTAAAAACATAAAAAATTATTATTATGAATGAAATGAAGCAGCGAACACACATACAGAGAGAGAGAGAGAGAGAGAGAGAGAGAGAGAGAGAGAGAGAGAGAGAGAGAGAGAGAGAGAGAGTATAATATAACATGCAAATGCACGTTATTGAAAGTTATTATCGATTTAGTCACATGTTTCAACTGTTTAATGTTTGCAAATGTATTTCTTTCTATATTTATTTATGTATTTATACACTACTGAGGATTTTTTATTACTTCAAGAATATAGAGATTAATATTATTTTCAAAGTGACTTCAGGTACAATTGCATCGTTACGTGAATAAACTGTTACAAGCTATTGCCATTTGTCTTATCGTGTCATCACTTTTTCGTCGTCGTCATCTTATTCTAAATATAATTTCATTTTAAATCATTTTAAATAATTTCTTTTCTAAAATTTAAATATCATTCTGATTCACAAATGAGACAATTTTTAAATTTCTAAACATTTTCTGGTTTCAGTAATGAAAAAGAAAACATAAAAAAAATTCTTTATCTCAGGAAAAATAAACAGTATCGCTATTTTCAAATTTTTCCAGATAGTTCATTAAACCCAAACGATATTTTCAACCGCGGCGACACTTATCCACTCACCACCACTGCCACCACCAACGACAGTAACAACAACAACAACCTGCAAAAACAATTAACATGGATGCAAAGAAATATGGATATGTTGAAACAGGAGGTATAAGAAATATATTCATCTCAGTAACTTATTATTATCAATATTATTATTATTATTATTATTACCCATTATAATTGTCGGCATCAAAAAATTAACCCACTTTTTCGAATTAATTCCTCCTCACACAAGAATGCAGCTCTGGAAAAAGCTCTGACAGCTACAGGCCGACCGAACGACAGCCGCAACAACTACAACGACGGCAGTGGCTGGATGATTGAGCAAGCCATGGACCCTACGCCACTTTCCTCCTCTGCAACAATTCGTCCCAATCAGAATGCCGCCCTGCTCTCCAGTTTCAAAATTGAAATGGCTACGTTTAAGGTAAATTAAAATGGGATGGTTTAGCGTTAGACCAGATAAACGTTCGTTTTTTTAAAAAGTTGTTGGGGTATTATAAGTTGATGTCTTTAATAGCAAACTATATCTTTTTTATTTATTCTAGAATATTTTTTAAATTTATTATTTAGATCATTTAAAATTATAAAAAAAAATGAAATTATTTAAAATTCATATTGAAATTCTAAACGGCATTACGACAGTCAGAACTTTCGAGAGTAAGTTCCTCCTTAGAAGCCTGCGAGTTGGGTCGCAAGTCCCTGTCAGATAAGTGGGTGACCAGCTTGCAGGCCAGTCTGCAGCAAATGAACGCCGCTCTGAGGCAGCTGCTCGTGCAGAATCTTGAAAACCCCATCGAGAAATCTATGGTTCGGTGCATGAATTTCATTTTTATTTTCGATATCAGTTTGAAATTAGCCTTATAAAGAATATTTTTTTTCATATCATCTCGATATGTTCAGTTCTTATTTTTACAATATTATTCAATTTGTATGATAATTATTAATATAACACCAAAAAACACAATCCACCAAATCAGATCAGCTCGTTACAAGGTAGATTGAAATCAACGGAGGAGCGTCTGAGGATCAATCGCAGGGAGGGGGTTGATAATTTGTCGAAAGCGGAGGAGAGATTGCTCATTGAAAATGCTAATTATCAGGTTTTCATCTTCATACCTTATATTGAGTTTTTTTTATATTTTTGTTGTACTTTTTTTAGTGAATGTTCTATTTTTAGTGAATGTTCTATTTTTAGAAGATGTTTTATAAAATGTCTAATTAATTTGAATTAATTCCTCACACAAGAATGCTTGATTCACTTTATTATTCAATTTAAAAAAAATTCTTTTTATTTTAGTTATACAATTTAACCTTTCTAATATTCACTAATGTCAAATCAGTTTCATTTTGTCGCTAAGATTTCTTACTGCAACAATTGCCCTGTACAAAAATGCAGACCTCTGAAAACGAGTTGCGTCGAAAAGTTCACCAGATGAACAGCCAACTTGAGAACATAAGAAGGAAACAGCATAATTTGGTTGAGGTGTTTCAGAGGTTAAAGGTCAAAGCATCGGAAAATGGACACATTGATGTCGTAAGTGAACGTTTATTGTTGTTAGTTGGTTGGTTTGTTGATTGGTGAAAAACTGCCTTGA